TTCCTATACCTCCACCCTTCCCCAAATTACTCCTGTCTATCCTCTGGCCTTCCTATTTTCTTTATCTTTTTTTCCTCATATTACGCTTCATGCTTTCTGTCATATAACAGAGTCTGCTACTTCCTGTCCATTGAATCCTTTCAGCATACTTAATTTCCTTACTGTCTCACCAGTACTCTCTTTGCTCTTCCTCTTCTGCAAACCTATACCTCCACCCTTCCCCAAATTACTCCTGTCTATCCTCTGGCCTTCCTATTTTCTTTATCTTTTTTTCCTCATATTACGCTTCATGCTTTCTGTCATATAACAGAGTCTGCTACTTCCTGTCCATTGAATCCTTTCAGCATACTTAATTTCCTTACTGTCTCACCAGTACTCTCTTTGCTCTTCCTCTTCTGCAAACCCCTGTTAAGGATTTTGTCTTACATGTGTTTGTCTTGTCTGCTTTTCATTGCCAGATCTTTAAAACAGAGGATATGTCTTTATACTGTATATACTTGGAAATTGCTCTACCAATAAAAATGTCTACAGCTACTCTGTGTAGTAATGCAGGCTCTTTTCAATTTCAGAACATATGTGGTAGAAATTGGTGCCAAGTACTAACTATTGGTAGGATAGTTTGAATTATAGTAGTATCACTAGAGATTCATTCCTGTGCAATTTTTTTTTAGTTTTTCACAAAGCTGATACTAATATGCAGACTTCATACTTCTTTATAAATCTGTTTTGAACTTTCATTAACTGTGTTCAACATAAGAACTCCCAAAAATACAGCACATTGAGAAATCTAATGTTTGCATTACCAGCAATTTCATAATTGTCATTTGCAAAATCATAGCAGAATTAAACTAAATAAAATAAAACAAACAATGGAGAGCAGTTTCTTAGTGTTACAGTTCAGGTTTATCCAACCCAATAGGATGTATGAGTAGAGGAAAAGGGCAAGCATCTGTGGGAGGCAGGGTTGACTATCTGGAACTGCTGGGTTGGAGAATAGTTACTTATAGTAGGCTGTTGTGGTTAGTCAGTACAGTGGTTTTAATTATTTTTCTTTACAAACGTCTGCTGAAGGTTTCTCCAACATATGCAAATTTAACCACTTTTCACCAATGTTTTAAAATGTGCCTATTTTGTGCTGTAACTCATTTGTATAAAATGTGTTAAATGGAGAAACCAACAGGCTGTGTCTAGATTGGCATGATTTTCCGGAAATGCTTTTAACGGAAAAGTTTTCCGTTAAAAGCATTTTCGGAACAGAGCGTCTAGATTGGCACGGACACTTTTCCGCAAAAGCACTTTTTGCGGAAAAGCGTCCGTGCCAATCTAGACGTGCTTTTCCGCAAAAAAGCCCCAATCGCCATTTTCACGATCGGGGCTTTTTGCGGAAAACAAATCTGAGCTGTCTATACTGGCCCTTTTGCGCAAAGCTTTTGCGCAAAAGGGAGTTTTGCCTGAACAGGAGCAGAATAGTATTTCTGCAAGAAGCACTGATTTCTTACAGTAGGAAGTCAGTGCTTTTGCGGAAATTCAAGCGGCCAGTGTAGACAGCTGGCAAGTTTTTCCGGAAAAGCGGCTGATTTTCCGGAAAAACTGGCCAGTCTAGACACAGCCACAGTGTCTTTCAGATAAAGTTTAAAGGAAATGACTGGCATGCTGGTCCTCCTGTGAGACTTTTCAATGATTAAAAGAAGAAAGAACCAAGTTAAGGCTTCAGCCAAAGCAGTTGTCACAATCTCATTGTTCTTTCTGGTACTTGTCCCCCATCACCAATAGTTTGTCATACATTTTAATGGACTCATTTTAATCCATAGGGTTTCATGCTATTCCTTTTCTGTCGTCTTTTGAACTGCAAGAAACAAAATATTTCTGGAAATCTTCCTGTTACCCATACATTGCAATAGATGTATGCACATCTCATTACTAGTATTATTGACCACACATCTGTAGATCAATGTTATAAGTAATTCCTTGTTTTTCATAAAATAAATAGGTGAAATACATAATGGGTTACTGAGAATTGGATCTGCCACCATGCCTGTTTATAATCCCAGTGAGAAAATGAAAGTGCCTGATGTTCTGTTTTATGAGAACACCCAGGTAAGTGCAGTTCTCTGATGCTACAGGTGCAGTAGAGTTTTGTTAAACATTGCAGTAATGATTTTTTTAAAGAACATATTTCTGAAGTGGTTGCATCAGTCTGGAACAGTAACTCTTAAAGCATTTTAATCTTGTTGGTAAATTTGGTACTCATTTCAGATTATTATCAGAAGGGTAGCCGTGTTAGTCTGAATCTGCAAAAGCGACGAGGAGTCCTGTGGCACCTTATAGACTAACTGAAGTGTAGGAGCATAAGCTTTCGTGGGCAAAGACCCACTGCATCTGACGAAGTGGGTCTTTGCCCACGAAAGCTTATGCTCCTACACTTCAGTTAGTCTATAAGGTGCCACAGGACTCCTCGTCGCTATTTCAGATTATTATAGATCAAGCTTCTTAACCATCTCTTTGTGAAGCGATGATAAAAATCCTGTAGAAATTCCTGTTGAAAAATCCTGTGAAAAATAAACAAATGGCTCTTGAACCTGGATTTTGTTTATAGTGAATCAATAAAATACTGTGTTGAGAAGATTTATTACTGTCGTTTGCCTAAACCACTATTGTTACAGCAGCTACACAGCTCCTTTTAAAGATCCTATTTTTAGAAAGTTATATCTTGAAGTTTTGCAGCTTGCAATACAGAATGCGGATTAGGAATTATTAGTATACATTTTAAAATATGAAAACACAGTTGAATTTTTGAAAATGTTATCACTATTCATAGTAATTTTATATGTAATACTTTTTAATGCACAAGCAATATGCTTATTAACAGTATATTAAACCAAATTATAGGCTCATGCACTCCTAAGTATTATTCAATAATTATTCTAACGTGAAATGTCTCAACTAAAGTGTAGGAATATCACAAAAGTTGCTGCAGCATAGTGTCCCTCTAGTTATACAGACTATGAATTCTCTGGTTCTGAGTGTCTACTTTGCATAATCACTATACAGTATTTTAATAACTATTATATGCAAATCCCAGGATTCTAATGGGCTGACAGCCATTTTTAGCTAATCAGAGTGCAAGAATTGCTCAAGAACTATGCTGTATATATGCAAATTTGTTTACTGTGGCTACTGATGGTTAAAACCTAGATGGAACTACTATGGCATGAGTGTATCACTGGTTGGAAAACCATTCCTAGAGAGTAAATTATCAATGGTTCACAGTCATGTTGGGATCATTCCTGAATTCTCAGCAGCTGCCAGCAACTGTGGGGAACTCTCCACAGGGTCAGGAGCCAGGGTGAGTTCCCTGCAGCTCCCAGCCCCCACACAGGCCAGGAGACACCCACAAATATGTGGAACTGAGAACAGCAGTTCTGCGAATTGCAAGGGTCACCTGTATTGTATTCAGTTCCAGGGATAAATTTCCGGAAAGATGTGGACAAATTGGAAAAGAGAAGAGCAACACAAATGATTAAAGGTCTAGTTGAAAATATGAGCTATGAAGAAAGATTGAAAAAAATGTTTTTAGTTTAGAAAAGAGGAGGGAACTTGATAAACAGTTCTTAGGTATCTAAAAGGTGGTTACAAGAAGAAGGGAGAAAAATTGCTCCTAACCTCTGATGATAGGACAAGAAACAATGGGCTTAAACTGCAAGAACTGAGGTTTAGGTTGGACATTAGGAAAACCTTCCTAGCTGTCAGGGTGGCTAAACACTAGAATAAATTGCCTAGGAAGGTTATGGAATCTACATCATTGGAGATTTTTAAGGGCAGGTGAGACAAACAGATGTCAGGGATGATCAAGATGGTCCTTGGCCCTGTGATGAGTACAGGGGACTGGACTTGATGACCTCTCGAGATCCATTCCATTCCTGTGATTCTGTGAAATCTCCGTTCTGATTGGGGGCAGTACTCACAATAATCATATTATTTGTTGTTAATAGAAATATTGCTTCAAGCTCTCACACGCTTCAGCTGATCTAGAGAAATTCCAAAATGTATATGAGGGGAAAGAGAGAAGAAGAAGAAAAAAAAAAAGCAAAGTGGCTCTGTGAACATGCTGTGAAAGGGAAAGTGTTTTTTTCTAAGCAAGACAGGTTCACTAGAGGGGGCAGGTTTCTGATCATCACAGCACTGATGTGTTAGCTTTCAGTTCCTAGGGCATGCTTGGCCATAGGACATGCCCACAAAGCGAATCTCCAGGATGCTTTGCCTGGCTAAAGTAGCACTGACAGTTAGAGTTCTTCTGTGAAATGTTTGCCTATTAGGGCTAGCTTTTTTCATATCCTTTTCTTCCCGCCTCATTTGCTAGTTCTCCACAGAGCAGTGAGTGCCACCTCCACTGCATGGGCCCTGCTAGCAATGTGAATTTATGGGAATCTTCTTAATTTTCCCTAGTAAAAGTTCATGGTTGAGGTTTTGTTCTGTGCTGCTGGTTCAGAAAAGTACTTTAATTTTGGGGGTCTCCCAGATGAAATCCTAAATCCTATAATAATGCCCCTTTTTATCTTGTTTAAGGAGACAGTAATAGTAGTAATTCCAGAATGAAGGCACTGAAAAAAAATCTAAACCTGACCTGTGTTAAAATATTATTTATCTGCTTTGTTTAGGTGTCACTTGTTTGTTAAATGTGTAGACCAAAGGAAATTGCCCTAAATTCATCAACAGTAGCATTGTGTGTTTGTCAAAAAGCAGCATATTGAGAATAAAAAATTGGTTTTCTTCTTTAATCCTGTGTTGCTAGCTCCCACCCCAGTGTGACACACTAAAGTGTTCTCATGATGATTTCAGAACCATGAAAATCTGCTGGAGACTGAAACTAATTTATGAGTAATAAAGTAGTATAGTTAAAAACCCAGCATTTAGTTATGTATGCTCATCCCCAAAACATTTCATGTTCCAGTGGGGTTTCAGCGTTGCTGTGAAACCACAGCATGCTGCAACTGAAGATGTAGTATCAGAGCAGGAGCCAGCAATCTAAAGTGGGCTGCATATTGTGAGACTCAGAAGAAGAACAATGATTTTTTTAGATAGGTGCTAAATGTCAAAATCAGCCTAGCTATTGGGGTAGGGGGGAAAGCATTGAATACTTATTGCCAAATCTAGTGGAATTTTGACATTTCCATTTAGAAATGTCTTACGTGAACATGACATGATTGTAAACATTCTCTGTATATTTCACCACAGTACTGGCTTGTACCTTATTATTAGAAATTATCTCATTTTCCTAGCAAGTACTTGCATGTATTATGCCGAAACAGTTGTTTGAGAGTGTCAAGGCTGTTCCCAACTCTGGGACTCCGAATGCAGAAGGTGGGGGCCCACAAGAGAGCTTTAAAACCTTGCTTCTACAGGCACTCGTTACAAAAACATTCCCTCAGAATCCTAAAACACATATTTTGGGAAATTTGCTGCCACCGTGAAGTGCTTTTTTATCCCTAAAAAAAAACCAGGCATGAAAGTTTGAAATCAACCTCAGGGATACTCTAAGTTCCTTTGTCCAAAAAGAACTTGAAAAAGAAAAGAGAAAAACAAGCTGCAGTCTCTAGTAGCTATCTCAGTCAGAGGCATGCAGATACACACAGACAAACCTTCCAGGACACAAGAATCAAATCATTACCTTTAAAAGAAGTGATTTGTATTACAAAACAAAAGATAAACTTGATAAAGCATACTTGGTTGCTAGATGTCGCAGAGCAACCAAGGAAAATAAATTAAAAAACCAGAGAAAAGTCTCGGCACAGTGCTTAAATGGTAGTAAATGGAGAGGGAGGCATAAATTCACACAGAACAGTTCAAACCATACCACAAAATAAAGAAACATTACCCTGAACGCAACTGGACTCACATTTCCCTGGTACTCACTTCTCATTTTCTCTTTGTTCAGTCCACTTCCATGCCCTGAATTCCATGGTGGAGGGAGGGGCATGGTAGTCCTGCCTTGGTTTAAATAATTCTGTGTATCTCCACTGCTGGTTTAACTCTCCCACACAAAGAAAGTAGGCAGGGAACCTATATCCAATTCAGATTTCAACCTTCTATCTCAATTAGCTCTCCCAGCCCCCTGGCGGACACCTTTGCTAGGTACCTGAGTTAATCCCTTAGTCACCGGGTGCTGGTCAGCACTCCCCCTGTTCGTGACAGAGAGAAACAACTCGAGCCCCGTTATTTCTACAATTTAGGATTGTTTTGTTTAAATGTGAGGAAGTTCTCCTATGTTTTTAGCAATTAACTCAGAAAGCATAATGGATTTGGCTTGCTAGGATACCTGATGTTAAATCTAGACTAAAACAAACTTGGTCAGCTATTTTACTGTGTGTGCGCGTGCGTGCACATTCAAGGAAATACAGAAATTTACCTTCAAGCCTTCTTTCGTATGGTGCATTTGATAGTTTCTTGACATGAGTACTTAGGATTTTGCAATATTAAGCTTTGATTATAAGCACCATTAAAATACTGCCCTTTGTTTTGGCCTAGAGGGATTTGGAACACTACAACAGCTTCTGCAGTATTATAAATTAAATATTTCTGTATTCTTAGTAATAATGCAGGAGTTACTGATTTCAAGAAGCAAATGCTGGGGGTAAAATGATAATGCTGAAACAAAAAATAGTTGTATGTTACATTTATGTAAAGACAGTCACTCTTTTTTCTAAGTACCTTGTTTGACCTACTTACAGATGACCTATTTTCACTAGATACAGAGCATACACAAGATTTTGATACTAATAAAGCGGCCTGCAGTTTTCATGTTATCAAGCTTCACCGATAATTGCATCATTTTTATTTGCAACAAATCTGTTTGCTTGAAACAATTTTAGGTTTATTTTTGTTTTCAAGTACATTATCATTTTTACATGTTAGAATGTTTAATACCATTTAATTACTATAAAATACATCACAAGTATTTTAACTAGGGATGTAAAATCCTGGGCAATCAGTTAACTGGTTAAACATTAGGTTAATTTCACATTTACTGAGTTAACCAATTAAGCAAGATTTCACTGCTCCAACCCCCTAGTCCACGGGGCTCTGCTTGCTCCCGGCTC